CACCAAGTTGTATAACAATCTCTTCTCATCCTTGGTGAATAGATGCATCAGGGATAGTTAGAAATAGGTGTTTATGCATCTCAGTCTACTGCTAATCCCAAGTAATAGATTTGCTATTATTATTTTTACCTTTCAAACCTCTTCCCTTGAAACCAACTGTACCACTCACAACTCCTGCAGCAGAAAAATACAGAAATGGGATGCCCATTTTCAAAACCAGCTTTGAAAGATGAAGAAATAGTTATGGTGTGGAAGGGGATGGCAAAGAGAGGAGTTCTAACATTTTCAAGAGCCCTTTTTTTTTTTTTTTTGCATGAAAAAGTCCTCCATTAAACACAATATCCTCCTCCCCCTCCCTCTCCGGGTGTTTTAGCAGTATTCACTTGTAACAGCAAAAAGACCTGGCCCCAAGCAAGTCTTATTTGAATATCTTGTCCAATCTACTTCTGACAGCGTTGATCTAACCCTAAGGAATAACATTCTACAAAGTTCCTAGCTAACTCCTGTCCTTCTCAAAGATAAGATAAATGAATTCCCAGGATGACTCCCTTAAACTGGCTTCAGCCCATCCATTGAAAGACTCTTCTAGAATCCGGAAAACAAATTAAGGAGGAAGAGATTTCAGAGAAGAGAGACAGATGGCTAAGGGTAGCCAGTACTAAGAGAAGATAAAGAAATCATATTGTGTGGGCAAACACTGTTTACTTAGGACTAGACAGCGCTCTGGTGAACACAACACAAATCTACCCCCACCCACATCCGAGGGTGATCAGGAAGGTATGTAGAAAAAAAAAAGGAGGTCAGAAGATAAACAAATAGATCTAGGCTCAGATCTGACCAAGGATTTTTCTTCAGTGAAAGACATCTCTAAACCGTTACATCTATTTTGAAACATCCCAACCATTCTAGCGGTTAAGTAAATCAATTATTAAAGAGATATCACTGGAGTAGATCCCTTTTTGAACCTACTGTTGAATCCTACTATATTCATCAAACTCTCAAATTATTTGCCCATAATATTCTGGAAAGCGCACATCTGTAAGCCAACTACATCAGTACCTTGGGGTGCATTACATTGGGGAAATGGGGAAACTGTCTACAAAGAACCCTAATTTTGGCTCGTTTCATTGCTCCCGGTTCTTTATTCTACTCAACCATATCCATAGATGACTCTTTCTTTTTCCGTCGTTGCTTTCTCTCTTTCTGCTCCTCTGTTTCCTCATCTAGGACTTATATCTGCCTGTGGTCTCCAATCACATCCCTGAGAGCCATCAGAATGACTCAGGGTCTCTCAAGCTCCTCTCTACTGACATTTGGGGCTGGATAAGGAACTGTCCTGTGAATTGTAACATGGTGAGCAGCATCCCTGGCCTCTAATCAACAGATTTCAGCAGCACCACTTCCTCCAACCATGACTCACAAAAACGCCCAAACTGCCAAAAGTCCCATACGAGGGACAAAGTCTTCCCCAGTGGAGAGACACTAGAATGGCTGAATGTGCTTCTACTTCTTAGTAACTTCATGACTTGGGGTTAAACCAGGATATAATGAAGTCTACAGAGGGAGCTGAGAAGAAATTACTTCAGAAATCATCTTTATCAATTAGGTAGGCAGAATCCAATTTCTCTATGAATTCTAGCTCAGCTGCAGAGCTCACGGATATCCAGACTCCATAAGCACAATGCGTGCTGCTTGTCTAAATTATCGGTTACAGGATCCATGAGATGCCATTAGAATGGAGCCGCCTTCGTATTTTCATCTCGGAAATGGTGCAGGCAGGAACGTTCGGCAGGCTATAAATATCCAGCAGGCTCTTGGATAACACAGTATGTATGCCTTGTTAGGTTAATACAAGGTGTCATTTTTTGAGCCTTCGTGCTTTGTTGGCAATTCACTATGAATGTGGGAAAGGAAGAAACCAAAGCAACGAAATGCTCAGCTGGCTGGGAGCTGCCATACGCCTCGCTAATGAGGTGTCTCGGGCACTTGCTTGTACACCTTTCTAAATGCTGGTTTTCTCTTGAGTTGTTTGCTAGCCTTCAAAAAGAGTCTGGTAAAATCCCAACTGCTAATTAGTGAACTGACAGGAAGTCTCAACTTTTTAAACTTATTGGTGTTTATTCGTTCTATCGAGGTTAATTCTTCAAGCACATTTAGTGCCATCTCATACACAAGAAAGTTCATTAAAACGCGCTGAAGGTATTTTGTGGTCCACGTTTCACCCCTAACGCCCACCGAGACAGACTAGAGTTTCTGACATTACTGGTTCCTGCATTAGAAAGCAAAAGATGTAGTATTCAATTTCCTGCCAGTTGGTTTTGTCACTTTCTGCATAAAACTAAGAGCACCTCTATCCCATGGATTGTATGTACATCCTCAGAAAAATAGAAAAATCATTCTACATCATCTCAAACTCTCAAAAGCATCTGACACATTTCATGACTTCTTCCTTTTTGGAAATATGTGTCACTCTTGGCTTTCACGATGCCACCTTCTTCATTTCCAGCTTTCCTGCTGTTTGTCTCCGTTTCCATGACTCTTCCTGGCTGATTGTTCTCTTAAACTTGTGTTCTTCTTGATCAATCAGTAGACACAGCTATGACCCTGGGCCTTCCTCTTTATCCAAACTCTCCCTAGCCTCAGAGTTTTGAGGACCATCAAGTTGCTAACGACTCTCAAATTTCTATCTTCGGGCCTCCGTTTTTCAATGAGCTTTAAAATCGACACATCCAACTTTTCTACTCTTGGATCTAAGAGGCATATCAAAATTAGTGGCAGCTGAAACAGAACTTTTTGTCCACCGCCCTCCACCATTCCTCCTCCTGTCTGCCCAAGGTCCCAGCCAAATGAGAATGTTTATGTCCCCCCAACTCCTTGCCTCAACAGGCTCTCCTTTGTTCTGCTCAGGAAATCTCACCACCCTTCCTAGTTTCTGGCCATGTGGATTCAAGCTCAGTCTCTTTCAGTTAGGCTTCCTGTTTAATGGGCAGATCCTGGGTTTCCCTCCGTTTCTTTTACTCCAGCTTTCCCTTACTACCCAAGGATTCTGCTTTTTATAACTCTGCAAGGAGGGCTGTGGGCAAAGTGACACTCCTGACCACTCATCTTTGATCAGTGCCTTGGTGACCTTATATGGTCAGTGGACAAAACCTTTTGAAGTAACATTGATAATGCAGCACTTTTGACACCGAGGTTTGATGTGACTGCAAGTAAACAAAAAATATTGCAAAATTTTGATATAGTCAGATAAATACCATTAATCCTTCTGCATGTTTTTATGATCACATGATACCTGAAATAAATATCCTTATCATAGTTTAGAGTCTCAACCATTCTCTGATCTCTTGTGGATATGTACAAATATGGCATAAAGAAAACATGGTACAAAATATCTACATTATCAAAACTCTCACACCAAAATAACTACATCAAATAAGCCAGAAAAATAAATGCATTCGATTCCTAAAACCAGTTACAAGAAATGCCTGAAATGTGTACTTTGATAAAATTTAAAATGTCCATGAGTAAAAAATACAAACCTTAGAGCCACCACAGCGCCAATTTTTAAAAAGTAGCGATCAGTTTTAGCCTTTAAAAGCATATTTTAAAAATAAAATTACACCTAGGTAAAAAAGGCAAATAACAACGTGAGAAATCTTGTGCTTATCTAAAAAATAAAGTGGAAATTTGCCTTTTAATAGTTAGTAAAAACAGTCTCAGAAGTAGAGCTCATTTTCCCAAGGAAAACACAGTCTAATAAGTGAATTCACACCCTTTCTGTTGCTGCCAGATAGGAGGAAGGCTTTGGGATAATGGGGTACTTTGAGAAATAAACATACCAACAGAAACAACACCAAGACCATCCAGTCATTCAGCCTCAGGACAATAAGGCCGCTTTGGCTGAGGGTGCAGAGTATTGGCAGGGGAAGAAAGCTACCTAGAGGTTATAGGTATAGGGTTTTAAAACTTGTTTTTGTTGTTTATGCAGAAGGATGCTAAACTGGAAGTTCGTGTGTTACAAAATAGGAGGTGCTAAACCAGGTTTTACAAATTTAGACACCTTTAAACCCCTCCCCGCTGTGTAGGTATAAAAGGGTCTAGGAGATGATACATTTGGAGAGCCACTGGCTCCCACGCATCCCTCCCAGCAGGCAAGGGTACTGGGCTTCTCAGAGCAAAGGGCTTTAGGGACCACTCAGAGAGCTTTGCATGAGTCCTGGCAGTTTGGGGTGATACTGTGCACTGATATGTGAGTCATGCTTGAGAAATCTAACGGGTCAGAGGATGGCTGAAGATTCCTGTGCAGAACAGCAGAGGTGGGGGAGAAAGCGAACTCCCAAAGACCCTTGGGGCAAAGGGTAGCTAAGTGTTCTGCGTGGACGGGATGTGCATCATTAGTGAAAGGCAGGCAGGGTTTACAGAATCCTGTCCAAAAGACTAGGATGGGCCAATCAGATCGCACTTTAGAATGTTTGCTGGATGGTTGTGGGAAGCAGAGAATTCACCTTCCTGAATGTAAAGGAGAAACATACAGCCCGGGTTGCTGGTGGCAGCCACCAAACACCTAGTTCAGAGGTGAAATTGACAGAAAAAGGAGAACAGAGCCAAAACACCAGCAGAAAAGTGGAGCATGCACCGGGGCCAAATGGTCTGTAAAACCCACCCTTGATCTAAACTTTTTGCTGATGTGAACCAATAGACTCTTGTCCTGTGAAATCTGAGTTAAGTTTGAGTTTTCTAGCATTTGACAGTGAAAGCACTTCACTATAAAATCTTTTCTAAATAATGTGACAGAAAATCCACAGTCGAAATTTGTGCTAGACTAGGATTGTCCAAAACCAGAAAAAAGTGCAAAAATATCAGAATGCCAACTTCACTTGGTTCTTAGCGCGAACTCTCTCTAGGGAAGATACGAGCTCTAATCCAAATGAGACCTTAATTGAAAGATGAACTTCTTTTGGCCGGAAGGTACGAAACAGGGAGAGTAAATTATGTGTTACCTGGTAATGAACTCTGTGGGAGCCAGAAGAAACCGACTGCAGGTCCTAATGAGAAAATGGAAAAAAAAAGATATAGCCATAACTTAAAATTAGTTTGCACAAGCTGCCCTCACAACTCTATCAACTGAACTCCCACTTTACCGTTATTGAGGTCACCTGGAAAGTGTCTAACTCACCCAAATTCATCAAGATTAAACAAAGACGACACTGTCAAAAATAATAAAAGCATACCAAGTTGGACTGAAAGAAGAAAGGCCATTTAGCTATTGGGACATGAATTTTACATAGTGTTTAGAGGCACATAATATTTTATACTTTTGAGGATAAAGAAGACCGAAAGCAAAAGAAAGGCAATTTTGTTATAATAATCGGGGGCCATGTTGCCTTTGCACCTGAACTTTTGGTTTGTGAAGAGAGCTTCTGAAGTCCCTTTAAGCGCTTAGAAAGAATTTATTTATCGCAGGCCCAACACATACTGTCATGGTAACTGTGTTTATATTGTGGTTTACACTGATAAGTTGCTTGGCAAACAGGTTTTCGTAGACTGCAAAACAGAAAACCACTGGGCACCTCTGTATGATCACGGAGTGCAAATGAATAGGGTTGAAATTAATGAGGTTTTACTGGCAGATTCTGAGAGCCTGGCTCCCTTTATAAAGTTTTATAACTAAGGCGTCACCGTTGTCATGTCCTGCAGGCTTCCGTGTTAATGAGCGCGGCGCTTCTATTTACAAATGTCAGCAAAGCCTGGGTAACTTTGTCTTCATACCTGCTTCCCACAGGCTTGTCAACTTCCTCTCCTTGCCCAAGTGAGTTTTAAACATTTTCCTCTTTGAGTTTGCTCTTTCCTAGTTGCTTTAATCCCACTTTTAATTAAATATTGGTGTGATGAGCATGCCAATAAGTTGGTTTTTAACAAAGCCAACTTATCAGTTATGTATTTTGCTACTGCGAAATCTGGTTACCCAAGTGTGAAGAAAAAAAAAAAAAGGTTTGCGTAGCCATTGTGATTAACTTTTTATTGCAGGCTTTTTAAGTGAGGTTCCATAATAAAACACATACAGGGTTTTTCAAAATGAGATGCTATGTGTCCTAGGAATATTGATTTAGACCCGTGTCACATGCTAAAAAGCTCACAAATTTTAACATGTTGAAGTTATCCTTAATAAAAATAGCCAAATGAAGCCACAAGTATAAAATGTGTTGACTTTTCTTCTCTTACCCATTATCAGTATTCAAAATTTGACATTTTTCTCAAAATGTATCTCTAGCTTTAACAATGCTGATGAGAAAAAATAATAATTTTTCACATTGTTTTATGCCTCCTACCTGAATTTATTTCCACCCAAAGAGATAAAATCTAATATTCAAAGCGAACTGGCTGCAAATTGAAAGGATTTTAAACACTATTTATAGCTTCTTTATTTTTCATATTTCCTCATGTATAGTATGCTGTCAGAAAGAGGGTTGCTCATCTTGGGGTATCTATAAAAAAAGACCCAAGAGCTTTAAAAATACAAATGTCTAGACCACATCCAAAAAATAGTGATCCTAAGGTGCATCTTTCGTCAAGAAACAATGATAAAGAAGAGGCTATTTATGCTCTGTGCCATTTGTAAAATGAACAGAGTGAATACTCCCCCACTAGTTGCAAAAGCAACTAGTGACAATTGCAACGCTGGGTTTGGGTCTCCTGGCTTTGCTGGTGCAGTTCAAATTCATGGGAATGTCATATATGAGACCTCTTTCTTTCTCCTTCTCTATGGTAAGACGAAATTGAGAAAAAGAATAGATCATTCTTTTGTGTTCTGACACAAATTCCTATGAAATATAGAAGGTTTTTCTTTCCTGTAGGAGTTATATATTTTTTTAGAAAAACTCTAGCTGTCTCTGACGCAGTCTGTGCTGAATACAAAACATTAAATAACCCCAGATCTGTTTTCTTTTATTATTTATCAGTGCCCTTGGAAATTCTGTATAGCTCAAAAAATACAGGTATGTAGTCTGGACCCAAATCATAGTTACGGATCACACTAGCACAACATCACCTTGGAGTTAATCCAATCGATCCTTTCCCATCTGAACCACCTGAGCAGGGAAGTTAGCAGGGAGTGGGGGAGGGAGAAGATGGGGTGTATAATTAAAAGCCAAGGACACCCCGGGCCGGCAGAGTGGCGTGTTGGTTAAGAGCTGGCTTGGGATGCCAGCTCTGAGCAGCAGGACCCCGGTTCAGATCCCACATGAGGGCCAGTGACACTGCCCTCTACAGCTAAGATGGTGAGCAGCAGATCGACCTGGAGCTGGGCTGCCATGCATCGCCGGTGACAGCGTAGGCTGCAGCCCCTGCTGCAGTGGGCTGCCATGGGCTACTGTTAGTGGCTGGCAGCAGGTGTGAGCTGCCAAGAGCCGCTATGAGCAGCCATCCTTAGGCCAGTGACCTATCTGCCTTACCCGGGAAGAGTGCAATGATAATACCAACATGGGCCAGTGAAGCGATGTCCTCCACAACTAGACTGAAGAACAAAAGGACAGCAACTTGTCTGATCCCCTTCCCCGATTCCTCAGTGCTGTCCCCCTCCCCCAATCCCCCAATTAAAAAAAAAAAAAAGGCCAAGGCCGCCCCATTTCCATTTCCTCTCCAAATGCATCATTTCAGAAGCAAATAAACATGGCTGGTTCGGGCCGGCCGAGTGGCTCAGTTGGTTAAGAGCTCTCTCAAGAGTGCGAGCTCTGAGCAACAGGGTCACCGGTTCGATTCCCGGCCCGAGGTGAGCTGCCGCTAAGCTGCCAACAGGTGGCAGGATGGCTCAGCTTAAAAAAAAAAAAACCATGGCTGGTAATTGTTTACAAAAATGGAAAACTGAGCAGAGTAAGTCATTGGCTATAGAAACTCACCTCTTGCAGGCGATCTATGTACATACGGCAAGTCTCCAAATCACAGTCTCCACGCACAACGAGAATACCCAGAGGGATGGCTAAGGGGGAAGGAAACAGAAAAGTCTAAAATAACATATTTGATTTTTCTAGATTGGCATTCATGTTTCTGATGGCTAAAAAAATAATATCATAAATATCATTGGGATTTTGGATCTTTCGCCTCCCTTGCGAGCTTACTCTATTTTTGCAGCTGTCATATCCTTTCTCGGCATGATCACATTGCCCCTTGCTACCCGCCAGCCTTCATTTGCCTCAGTGGCCCTGACATGAAGTTGAGTATCATGGGAACAGTGGGTTGGCAGGAGCAGGCGGCTTCTCATAGCCAGCTGATAATTTATACCTGCGTTTGCAGTAGCCAATGTACCAAAGAGGAATTTAAAAAATCAGGATTCTGGCCACTTACACCTCTCTGTCCTGAATGCATGGGGCTTAACCTTTCTGTCAGTTTGCAAAGTTCCCTATTTGAGAGATTCAACTACTCAAGGCAGTGTTGCTATTTGCTGGCCAATGGCAGAACTAAGTAGGCATAAAATGCTTAAAGATATATATATATATATATATATATATATATATATATATATATATATATATAAAAGAGCTTCTAGAAGATTCACATCTTTAAAAATCCAGCTGATTTTAAAAATGGTCAGTGTAAATGTGGTGGCAGCAAGACTGTAACAAGCGATAAGAAGAATCTGTTAAGTGCATTAAATACCCTATTTAGGTGTCACACAGTGGCTTCCGTGGACAGAACCTCCTTTTTCAGATATAACCATAAGGTTCCTGAAATACCGCAAAACTATCTCCTTCCCAAAACTTCAAAAATGTATGTGCATAATTCCAATTTTAAAAGTATACTACACTACTAAATCCATGATTGAACCAAAAAAATTCAAAGTCTTGAATGAATCGGCTAGAGACCAGCAAGCAAATATGACAATGGTGTTCACTAATGATTTTTAAAAACGTTTCATTCATTGAATTTATTTTTACAGCCCAATCATTAATACATGGGTCTGAAAAGGTCAAGGGCTAGGGCTTTAAAAATCAATAATAGAGAGAATGAAATACATTTAAAATGTATGGAAACATCTCGAGGAACTCACAAAGTAATAGAGGGGGCAAACATATAAACAAAAACAATAATAAATGTAACATAGGCTATACTAAGTGTATGAAATTAGTCATTTGAAAACAATAGCAGAGAGAGAGAGAGAGCCTCTAGCATGAAAGGTAGATTTTAGGCTTTTAAAGGACAGAGAGCCCCTTTAACTCTTTTAGTTAGAGAAGCAAAAGTGGTCTAGAGAGAAAAAAAAAAAAGAGAGTTCATTTCTCAATATTATGTCTTATGTTGGTTTCCGCGAGGGAGGCCGCCCCCCCATTCCTGTAGGTTCCCAAGGTCCTACATACACAAAGCTAGAAAACATCCATCACCTTGTAGAAGGAACTATGTAATCCTGAGAATGAGTACAAACTCTCTCGCCTCAGGAATAAGACTTGTGTCCCTTTACAACCCTATTGGCTGCTAGAGAAACGGTAGACTGTCAATAAACGTCTGTAAAAGGAAGGAGGAAGATAGACAGACTTAGGTCCTGTTCAAGTATGAAAGAGGCAGTGTGTCTTTAAGAGCTAAGCCAAGTTTCCAGGGCAGGCAAAGAAACAATTGTTTGGAGCAGGGGGAGAGAGAGTGCATTGGGTTCGCGCCTGTCTTCACCCATCTTCCTGGAGCTAAGCAGGGGAGCCGGTAAGCAAAAGAGCGGGGAACCCTGCAACTGTCATGTGTTTAAGAAACAAAAATCTGGAAAAATGCTTTTTCTCTTCTTTCTGAATATAAATAGAAACATCAAACATGTCTTCAGTATGGTAATCATGCATCTTTGAAAGAAATAGAAGGGAAATTCAATAAGGAGAACCCTAAATAGCACTGATTGAAGTAATTTTCCTCAACCAGACTACTATTACTAAATACTAAATACTCATAGATCCAAATAAAGTGATTCACAGAGGTAAGAGAAGAATAAAGATTTCTAATACTTGAGAAATGATGAGGAAATCTAGAATTTTGGCCTAGAAAGTAAGTCAAAGGTTGTGGCAACAGAATATAGCTATAATTAACATGACAGTGCATGTTAGCATCTTGCTAAATGATATTTTCTCTTAATTTCAAATGTGCAAATCTAAAGAAATAAAATGTAATCAATATTTATCCATTTACTTAAATTAGGAAACACATTTTATAGACACACTGGAATCCTGTCAACACCTCTGATATCCTTCTATTATCAATGCTTAGAATTAGTCTGGTTATAAATTCAAAGTATTTGGTAGCAGGTATTTTAAACTACAATTAGAGATTGGGTACTCCAGACCTGGAATCAAAAAGGTAGAGCTGGGAAAATTTTCAAACACATCTCATTCATTTGTAGTATGAGTATAAAATCAGCAACTTTGCCTACTCCTCAAGAAGGTAATTAAGAGAAACTACTTTTGATTATTAGCTATTAATTGGGCTTAAAAAGAAAAGAGTAAGGCATCCTGTACCACAATTTCACAGCATGATGACTGATAATTACTGTCAAATCCATCCTATGAAGGTAGCAACATGCAGTAAAGGATTTAGAGTCATTGACTCCTGGATTCAAATCCCAGTGCTGCTTTGGTCTCACAAATTACTCGTATTAGCTGTTTGGTCTTGTAAGTTACTCAATTCTCTAATCCTTGAAGACTATAATATTTAGAACAGGTATCTTCCAGGATTTTGCGAATATTAAATGCAACACTGTATTTAAAAACGAATAACCAAAACATGAATATTGGTTCTCCCTTTCTCCCATGACTCTCTGTTGAGCATCTTAGCTAGAAAATGGATATACCCAATCATCTATCTTTTCATTTATCATAATACTATAAAGATTAGCTGGTAGCAGTTCTATAAGTTATATCCCTTTTTACTGAAAACTAACTTCTACTCTTTCTGTGATGGGAAAAATAACCATAATGTAAAAATATTGTAATTCAGCACTTCCATTTGGGGTTTTGCATGGTGAAGAGAAAGCAGACACTTGGGAAAAATTACCACCCTCCTTTTTGCCAACTGGCAAAATTCACTGACGTTTCCCTCATCTGAACTGGTTGCAAGGAGAGTGCTTATCAACCATTAGCATGACCATCCCTGAACTAGATGACTCATCTTATTTGGCTTTAGAGATTTTATTTAAGCATCAGCTAATACTCAACCAACATAATGGAACTTTCATTGCAGGGATCAAATGGAATTCACAAGTTCCAACTAAGCAATGAAAAACAAGCTGGTTTCTAGATTAAGATGGCAGATTGAACACACACTTCTCTCTCACCAGAAATGCTATTCAATTATAGTAAATGGAGTTTTAAAAGACTCCATTTTAGACAAACAAAAAATAAATGAAAAGGGAAGGAGAAAATAGTAACAGATAAAGCAGATGAAAAGTTGGTGACTGACACGGAACTCCTATAGAGTTCAATTCTAAACCATGGGTGGAGATGGATGCAAGCAAACATATTTTACATTGCAAAACCCTCAGAAGACTTGTAAACTGGTGGCATTAGGTACCTCGGGAACTGAAGATAAAAAGGGGCAGCTAAAGTAAGATCCACTGGATGTTAGATCTAGATTCCACCCACTTGGCAGGTGCAGTTACTTTCTAGAAAATGGGGATTAGTTAGCCATCTGCAGAATGTAGAGCTCCCCAGCTTTCTTCTAGCACCCCAAAAGCTGGCAGCCAGAACCCTACCTTCTTGGAAAGAGATCCGAAGACTTCTCTCTGGGGCATCTTCAGAGACGTAAGAGAAAATATCCCATTCATTAAATATCAATGTGATTATATTTTTAAAAGATGAAAAATATGAAGAAGAAAAAGGAGGAACACCATTCAGAGCACAAAAAAAAAATAATCCTTGAAAAAAAAATTCGATAAAATAGAGTTAAATAGAAAGGTTAGAAGATGAAGCTGAGGAAATGTCCACACAGGAAGCAAAAATAAAAAGAGGTATAAGATAGGAGAGAATAGCTAAGAAAAATAAGAAAAACTGGTCCAGATGACCCAACATTTAGATAATAGGAATTTTAAAAACCAGAGAAAAATAGAGAGAAGTAATTACCAGAAACAAACTAAAAATAATAATAAAAATTCTTAGAACTGAAGAATATTCATTTCCAAATTGAAATGGCCCAACACGTGCCCAGTACAAAACCAACAGAATAATAGGAAGACATTTTAGGTCGAAATCTAAGAATATTAGGAACAGAAGAGTCCACACGCTTCCAGAGGGAAAAACCAGACGGCATACAAAGGATCAGGACTGAGTGGTTTTAAAGTTGTCAAAGACAATTGTACCGTCAGAAACCACACCTTCAGATTGCTAAGGATTTTTTACACATGATCCAAACTATCAAACAAGCCGAAGGATTGAACAAAGGACACACACTCTATCGAGGGGCTACTGCGGGACTTGCCCCAATAGAAGTTTGCGAGAAGACTGAGGAGTGTGTGGGCTGTAACAAACGAGCATTCGCAAAGAGAAGCAAAGGGAACGTCTAAGGGGATGGGGCTGGACGATCCCAGATGACCCGTCTATGGGGCCACCACACAACACACGCCGGAACACTGTGACTCAAGAGACAGACACGTTAGATTCTCACAATGCTGGGCGAGTTGTTTTTCAACCCAAACGCAGAATGCCCGGGGGAACCTGAACCAGTATCTTATGTATATATTAATAAAAACACTATACCACCTCCAGACGTGGTCTGCCTTGACCTGTTCTTTAGAGCAAGAGTTCGATCATGGTGAAGCAGAAAAACTCAAAGAAGTGCCTTCTCTTTAACCATATTTCAGCTTGATGGCCAGAACTCACCCTAACACCCTGCTGAAGGCTTCCTGGGATTTGATCATCACCTTGCCCACTAAGTCCCCTTAGAGTGGGCTCCCGTGTGCTCTCAGGGAAACTGAAGCCACACAATAATCCAGACCCTTTTCGGCTCTCCTGGGAGCCTTCA